CCCAGAGATGTTGTGAAGCTTAATCCATTAATTACAATGCTTTCTGATTGTTGGATGGAAAGTACTATAGACAGACAGACTATTAGCATAAACATAAAGGTTCATTGAAGAGTTTTATTTTCATACACACACAAATTTTTTGGGGGGGGAGGAGGGGCATATAAACTGTCACACCCTGATCTGTTTCTTTATCCAATTGGAAAGTTCAAGCATTCAAAGGGTTAAAATCCAGCCAATGGCAATATACCTTGAGGATGCCTGAGGGAAATACTTGCTGTGTTTGTATCCATTACCATTCTGAGAACAATATATGTATAAAAGCGATCACAGTGAAATTCTTGATAGAATTAATCTGTTGCCCACTGTTGCTAATTGCAGCACTGGCCTTTTGACACCATAGCTAAGGTGCTGACAATGTGTCCATGATATAATTCTTCCCTGTTTATACCTTCACCATACAAGAAGGGCACTGGTTTAAACCATGGGATTCCTGAAGGCCTCAGTGATCTTTTCATAGATAAAAAAATAAACTATTTTGCATTTATAAAAGTACCTTGGTACTAGTGCCAGAGACAAAGAAAGTGAAACTGACCTGCCTAATTTCATTGTCCAAGTTGAATAACCTGCAAAATCTAAATAAGATTAATGAACAGCATAATGAAAATAAAAGTATAGCATTGATTCAGATCTCAGTTATGTTGGTGTAAATCAGGAGTTGTTCCATTGAAGAGATAGTGGAGTTACTCTGGTATATAAGGTCAGAATCACACCCCATGTTTTTGAAAATTCTTTCTGTTTTAATAATCTAATATACTATTAGTAACACAGAGAAGGAAATCTTTAAAAATATACTTATATGCCTATTATTCTGATAGTGTCCATTAAACAATGCAGAATAAAATACTATTCCCATTATGCTTAGAAGTTTGCATAACACCACCAACAATCCTTTGCCCTTTTTATTTTGAAAACAAAGCAGTCCAAAAAGTTTTTTTGTTAAGTATTAACATTGTATTCCATGCAGATAATCAATAGTAAATACATTGCATTAAAAGACAGCTAAAGTGCCTTTAGTCCCCACAAATAGTCCAGTTGTGCTGTAAATTCAAGTATGTGGAAAGTAGGCAGTTACTAAGAGAGAAAATATTTTGGAGCCAGGTCCTGCTCCCATTGAAATAAAATGGGTTTGGCCACTGATTTCAGCAGGAGCAGAAACAAGCCCTTGTTTTGTTTGTCTTTAATAAAGCCTATTGTATATTTTCCCAACTGCTGAATGCACAGAGAAGTGATCAATTAATATATGCCCTGATGTTGTTCTCCATTTCAATACAAGCAGCACCGCTACACTCTAACAACATGATCAACAGTTGCCACAAACTGCAAGGGCGCTGTCCTTAAAAAGACACATTGGGGTTGGCATTAGCGGTTGGTTGTATTTTGTATCTTGCTGTAACCAGCAGAGCAATTGACTGAGCACAGCTACCAGCCCTAGCCCATTTTATAGCTATAAAATACACAGATCAATATACACATGTACATTATACAATTTGCTTCTGAGGAAGCCCAGCCAAAGTGTTCACCCAGATCTAAACTGAAAACTTCAGAACATGGCTATAGAAGCCAGGTGATATAAAGACCTTCTTCACCCAGGTGCTTCTAGGCACACAGTTGGCATTCCTTCCTATAACTTTGCACGTGAGAATGGCAGGATTAGCCTGCATCTCCAAATCTGAGTTATGCTGATGGCCTTCTATTTGGTCCCTGCTCCATTTCTTTGAACGATGGTGCAGTACTTGTAGGTTGGCAGTGAGAATCCTTCACAACTGCCCTGTAGAGTAGGATACAGAGCTGTTCTATTGTGAAGCCACATGCAATGAAAACTAGAGACTATGAATGCTGAAAGGTTGATCCCTATTGATTCCACTGACCCAAAGTGGTCTTAGAGCTCCCAGAACCAGACCTCACTACCGAAGAATGCCTGGGATCACTTGTTTTCTTCTATCCCACACTCATGCTCCTATATTTTACCAATAAGCATTTAATTCTGGAATTAACGCTGCCAACTAACTCCTTTCTGTGTCTTATGGGCACATGAATCATGGGCAACGTAGGGGCTTTTACATGGACTTGGGCCAAATGGCCTCACCTGACATTAAGGGCTAGCCGATGCAGCTGTGCTGCTGTAACACATCTGGTGAAGACTCTCTATGCCGATGGGAGAGAGCAATCTCTCTGGCATAATAAAACTACCTCCACAAGAGGCGTTAGCTATGGTGGCTTCTCCCACAGACAACAGCGCTATCCACACCAGTGCTTAGATCGGTGTAACTTATGTCCCTCACGGGGGTGGGTTTATTCACATTCCTGAGTGACATAAGTTATACCAACATAACATGTAGTGTAGAGAAGCCCAAGGTTCCAAAGAAATGCAGGGAAGCACATGCCCCTGGGAACTCACATTGTTTTAACACTTCAAGGGTTAATTCTGAGTTGTCCAGAAAAATCTTAGCTAGCTGAACTGCCTGGGTGATACCAAATATGTTGGAATAAATTGGAGTTCAGATAATTGGCAGTCAATAGACAAGGATTCAGCCTCAGGCAGACACAGAAAGGGAGGTTTGGATAACAGGAGTTCAAATCATCAGGATTCCACAGCACACTGTTTTCTCTGTGTTGGTGATTTCCTTCTTTAGCCCCTCTGTGGTCCACTCATGACTCTAGATCCAACCACAACAACTAGGTGATGTTGGCTTAGAAAGTAGAGTCTGCTCACATCTGTCTCTAGGGGACAAAGGAGAAGGCAGCTGATACTGGAACATTGTACTGCATCTCCGCTCTCTCAGAACATTGACACAGGAGCCCACAATAGCTAGGTGAAGGGGTGAATAATGGAGAATTGCACTCCAGTTCAGTCTCCTTCTAGGAGAGAGAGCGGAAGAGGAGGTATCAGGTGCTAGCACACTGCACTACCTCTCAGCTGACCACAGAGAATGATCTCCATATGGTGAGACAGCAGATCCTCTTCTCCTCAAATGTGGGGTGAAGTATTGTACAGTCAGAGACAGGGACTGACAATTATAGGTTAAAACTTATCAAAACCTACCAAAGAAAAATTTAAAATTCAGTTTTGATAAATTCCTAGCATTTACAATTTTTGCAGTTTTGATAATTATTTATGGACACCCCAAGCATTCCAGTGTCGCTGAGAAGTCATGCTCAGCAAAGTGGAGCTCTGGAAGGGTCTGATTGTTTCCTATAGTTCAAGGAGAACCATATTTTTAACACCGAATAAAGCTTTTTGCTCCTTGAAAATTAGCCATAAATTTACCTAAAAATAAACATAAAAATTGCAAATATTAAAAAGATGAAAACCAGAAAGCATGGTCATAGCATAATCAATAATGAATTTTTTCTGTTCACTGCTGGGAAATTAGGAACATTGCCTTAATAGATAATACTGATTGTTCATTTAATGATTAATCTGATATCCAGTCTATGACAGATCCCAGTATCAGATGCCTGCATGGAAGAAACCGCTTAGTGGGCTACTATGAAATAACTGCCCATAAGGAAAGTTTCTTCCTGACCACAGGCATTCAGACCACAGGCCTTTGGCTTATGCCCTGAAGCATGACAGTTTATTATATAACTTACACATTTTTATCCTACTTAACACAATTTTGCATGTTTTAATTCTCCATCTAAATGTCTAATCCTTTTTTGAACCCTACTAAGATCTTGGCTGCAATAATTTTTGTGGCAGTGAGTTACATGGGTTAATTATGCATTGTGTAAAGTATATTTGCTTTACATTTGGACTCTTTCACAATCACTGGATGTCCTCTTGTATTATGAGACAAGTAAACAGAAGTACCCAACTGACCTTTTCTTTGCCAGTTAATATTCTGTATAAATCTAACAGGTGGAAAAAATGTGATTATTTTATAAAGAGATTGAAATCTCCTACCAGATTATAACCATTTTAATAAAGGCCAGATTTATGGTATACACTACATCAGTGGTTCTCAAAGCTGGTCCACCGCTTGTTCAGGGAAAGCTCCTGGTGGGCCGGACCGGTTTGTTTACCTGCCGCGTCCGCAGGTTTGGCTGATCGCGGCTCCCACTGGCTGCGGTTCACCACTCCAGGCCAATGGGGGCTGCGGGAAGCGGCGTGGGCCAAGGGACGTGCTGGCCGCCCTTCCCACAGCCCCCATTGGCCTGCAGCAGCGAACCGCAGCCAGTGGGAGCCGCAATCAGCCGAACCTGCAGACGCGGCAAGTAAACAAACTGGTCCGGCCTGCCAGGGGCTTTCCCTGAACAAGCAGCAGACTGGCTTTGAGAACCACTGCACTACATGACAGTGTTCCTTTAAACTTATTCGACTGAGGGCAAGAGGAGAGAAATCAACCTTCTAGCTCAAGATCCTGCTTGGAGCTAAAGTTTATCTTCTAAATATCCCTAGAGAGAGAATGTCTGGGCTGATGGCCCATAAAAACTTGGCATGGTTCTGCCTGACTTACCCTGTTTGAGCATTTTGGTGTCTTCATGACATAATCAGATGCACCAAAAGCTTCCCTAGTGGCTAAGTCTGAAGAAGTATAAGCCAGGGTCTAAATGCCACCCAGCATCCATATTTATCCTTAATGGCTATATAAATTCAGCCCATGAGACTGAAAACATTAATTAGACAGACCCTGCCTTTGGCAGTAATCACCGCCAGTGACAGCTGAACCAGCCAGTAGATAAAATATGCACCAAACATGACATCAGAATAAATAGACAAGGACCATGAAAAAACAACACAACAAACTCACCCTGTTTCTTCTGGGAATGCAAATAGCACTTCACACCAGCTTTTGGAGTTTGTTTGGGTGTCTGTCTTTCCTTAATTTTGGGCCCACTCCTGCTCCAGTTGGAGTCAATGGGAGTTATTCAACTGGGTTCAAAGGGAGCAGGATAGAGCCTTTATTTTCTGTAGATTAGTCTTTGGTTCTGACCGCAAAGGATAAGAAAAAGAAAACCTCTAGAGATCTAATGCTAAAGTCCTTACTCAGGGCCAGAATGTGATACCAGTGAAAATCCCCAGTAGAGGCCTCATCTAAAGCCAACTGAAGTAAATTGAAAGACTCCCATTGACTGCAATGGACTTTGGATCAGGCTTTAGATGCATTGATTCCAATAGAGTTACTCAGGATTTATGACAGTGCAACTGAGTTCAATCTCTAGATCTCTGTCCTCACTAAGATGAAACTTCCATTGACTTCAGTGAAAAATTTGCTTGAGTTTACTTCAGGTTTTAGCTCTGGGAGAACAACATTTTCCATAATGCTCTTTCCCCACCCTCTCCCATTGTAATCTGATCTGGTTTGGCGGCTGTGATGAGAGTAGAAGACAACCTGGGTTTGGAGGAAGGGATCTGAGGTCTCTCATCCACCACTACATCTCCCTCAGGGGCATCAGCAAAATAATGTGACTGACCAGAAAGGACAGGTGATTGGAGAAGTGCCACTGAAGGTGAATCCTTTACAGGGCATGAGCCTTAGAACGGCCAGATCTTCTTTGCTCCCTGGACAGAGGGGGAGAGCTATTAGCCTGAAGGAGAGACGGGTAGGGTTCGAAGCAGTGGGGTGGAATGATGAGTGGAGGAGGAAAGGATGCGGGCCCAGATTGGGAACTGCTCATCTTAGATGCCTGAGGGGGAAGGGAAGAAGTCAACACTACACAAAAAACCCCTAACTCAACTACAGCTTTCCCTACTGACACCCCCAGGGCTCTGGCACCAAACTGCAGGCAGACTGATGTCATAATGCACTGCCCCTGCTTCAGGCTCTGCTGTTCCCAGAGGAGTCCTGCAGAGTCGCATCTTTGCATTGCCCTGATTCGTTCTTTTTCAATGCTCCATTGGGTCTTTTGCCTCTGGTTCCTGTTCCTTTCCCGACAGAGGAGAGAGTTTGCAGTAGAATAACAGGAGACTCTAACCCTGAAGACAAGGGAGGTTGTGGGGGCGGGGAAGGAAAAGGAATGTGCTCAGCACTGTTCTGCTTCCACAAAGCCCTCCTTCTCATGGCCAGCAGGATCCACCTCAGAGTATGTTGTGTGGTTGGTGTGGTTTCGGAACTTCATGGCTGGCCAGTGGTGTGGTCTCCGCTGTGGACAAAGATACGAGTGCATTAAAAGCTAAGGAAGAGGCTTTAATTTGGGGCATGCTGGGAAGTTTGAAACCCAGACCTGAAACAACAACATTTAACCTATACAAGAACCCATCCTTATTAAAAGGCAACTTCCTGCCTTAAGAGACCACTCCATATGCCACGGAGTGCCCTCCTTCTCTAAGAGAAGTCCTATTTTCATTAACCAGCTGACTTGTGTAGATCTGCGATCACTTAGGACAGGTTTCATTGTATTCATATTCCCCAGTGCTGGAACACTATTGCAGGAAAAGCTGAGGACACGTCTATGCTACGGGAGCAATAGCAGCAGACCACAACGCTGCAGTGCTACAGCCCCGTAGCACAGACGCTTCCTACATCACAGAAAGGTTTTTCCCCATGGATGTAGGTCATCCACCTCCCTGAGAAGTGGTAGCTAGGTCAACAGAAGAACTCCTCCACTGACCTAGCCATACCTAAACTAGGGTTAGATCAGCTTAACTGCCGTGCTCAGGGGTGTGAAAACATAGCTAGGTCAACCTACTTTAAGTGTAGACCAGGCCTTAATCCAGTGTCACACCACTACAGTCCAGTAGGCTAATACTATTGCCTAAAAGGCAAACTCCAATGCATTAACCACTTAACAGGATTAAAGTGGGGAGAGAGAAGAAATGAGGACTTTGGTGAAATCAGGCCTCAGGTCCTCCAGAAAGAAAGGACTGTTCAGTGGTTAGAGAACTAGCTTGGACTTGGGAATACCCAGTTCAATTCCCTACTCTGCCATAGATTTCCTGTGTGACCTTGCACAAGTTACTTAGGCCCAGATCCAAAAAAGGTATTTAGGCTCCTATTTCCCATTGAAATCAATAGAAGTCAGAAGCCTAAATCCCTTTGAGGTTCTGGGTCTTAGCCTCTATGGCTCAGTTCCCTGTCTGTACAATGTGGATAATAGTACTGCCCTGCTTCATGGGGGGAGTTGTGAGGATAAATGCATTAAACAATTGTGAGGCACTCAGCTACTATGACAGGTTTCAGAGTAACAGCCGTGTTAGTCTGTATTCGCAAAAAGAAAAGGAGTACTTGTGGCACCTTAGAGACTAACCAATTTATTTGAGCATAAGCTCTCGTGAGCTACAGCTCACTTCATCGGATGCATACTGTGGAAACTGCAGAAGACATTATATACACAGAGACCATGAAATAATACCTCCTCCCACCCCACTCTCCTGCTGGTAATAGCTTATCTAAAGTGATCACTCTCCTTACAATGTGTATGATAATCAAGTTGGGCCATTTCCAGCACAAATCCAGGTTTTCTCACCCTCCCCCCCCCCCCCCCAAACTCACTCTCCTGCTGGTAATAGCCCATCCAAAGTGACCACTCTCTTTACAAAATGTATGATAATCAAGGTGGACCATTTCCAGCACAAATCCAGGTTTTCTCACCCTCCGCGCCCCCCCCCCCCCCACAAACTCACTCTCCTGCTGGTAATAGCCCATCCAAAGTGACCACTCTCTTTACAAAATGTATGATAATCAAGGTGGGCCATTTCCAGCACAAATCCAGGTTTTTTCACCCCCCACTTTTTTTTCCAAAAATCACACACACAAACTCACTCTCCTGCTGGTAATAGCTTATCCAAAGTGACCACTCTCCTATTCAGGGGACACCATCACAGGGCCTAATAACATCAACCACACTATCAGAGGCTCGTTCACCTGCACATCCACCAATGTGATATATGCCATCATGTGCCAGCAATGCCCCTCTGCCATGTACATTGGTCAAACTGGACAGTCTCTACGTAAAAGAATAAATGGACACAAATCAGATGTCAAGAATTATAACATTCATAAACCAGTTGGAGAACACTTCAATCTCTCTGGTCACGCAATTACAGACATGAAGGTCCCTATCTTACAACAAAAAAACTTCAAATCCAGACTCCAGCGAGAAACTGCTGAATTGGAATTCATTTGCAAATTGGATACTATTAATTTAGGCTTAAATAGAGACTGGGAGTGACTAAGTCATTATGCAAGGTAGCCTATTTCCCCTTGTTTTTTCCTCCCCTCCCCCCCCCCCCAGACGTTCTGGTTAAACTTGGATTTATGCTGGAAATGGCCCACCTTGATTATCATACACATTGTAAGGAGAAAAGGAGTACTTGTGGCACCTTAGAGACTAACCAATTTATTTGAGCATAAGCTTTCGTGAGCTACAGCTCACTTCATCAGCTGTAGCTCACGAAAGCTTATGCTCAAATAAATTGGTTAGTCTCTAAGGTGCCACAAGTACTCCTTTTCTTTTTGCGAATACAGACTAACACGGCTGTTACTCTGAAACCTGTCATTGTAAGGAGAGTGGTCAGCTATTACCAGCAGGAGAGTGAGTTTGTGTGTGTATGGGGGTGGGGGGGTGAGAAAACCTGGATTTGTGCTGGAAATGGCCCACCTTGATTATCATGCACATTGCAGGGAGAGTGGTCACTTTGGATAAGCTATTACCACCAGGAGAGTGAGTTTGTTTGTGTGTATTTGGGGGTGGGGTGGGGTGAGAAAACCTGGATTTGTGCTGGAAATGACCCACCTTGATTTTCATACACATTGTAAGGAGAGTGGTCACTTTGGATAAGCTATTACCACCAGGAGAGTGAGTTTGTGTGTGTGGTTTTTGAAAAAAAAAAGGGGGGGGGTGAGGAAACCTGGATTTGTGCTGGAAATGGCCCACCTTGATTATCATACACATTGTAAGGAGAGTGATCACTTTAGATAAGCTATTACCAGCAGGAGAGTGGGGTGGGAGGAGGTATTGTTTCATGGTCTCTGTGTATATAATGTCTTCTGCAGTTTCCACAGTATGCATCCGATGAAGTGAGCTGTAGCTCACGAGAGCTTATGCTCAAATAAATTGGTTAGTCTCTAAGGTGCCACAAGTACTCCTTTTCTTTCAGCTACTATGGTAAAAGGGTCCAGAAGACATCATAGGAAAGAGACAGACTGAGGAATAACAAGGGCTATCAGGAGAAAGGGTAGAAGCTTCCTGTTGCTCACCTCCCCCAAAATAGATTCCATGCTGGAATTAACCCACTCCTGACTGCCCCAGGTGTCTGTGAAAGCCAAGGAGTCATTTGCAAACAGCAGAGAGAGAACATCAGCGCCCCTGATTATTTGGAAATGAAAAATCTGCATTTAAAACATTCACACCATCAGTTACATCTTGGAGGATGGAACAGCATCTATTATTAAAGCCCGTCAGTTTTAATTTCCCAAACCCAACTCAAAAGGTACCAATCTCACCTTTGTTACAGCTCCAGTCCAGCTGAGCGCTGGGTCTGGAATCTGTGTGTTTTGAGCATTTGTGTCAGAGAGAGTGCGAAAGAGAGAAATAAAGTGTGAGTAACTGTGGGTGAGCATGTGAAAGTCTGTGACTGTGTGTGAATGAGTGAAAGAGAAAGGTTGTGAGAGAGTGAAAGAGAAAAGCTGGGTGTGAGTGAAAGAGAAAAAACCTGGGTTTCAGACATCAACAACTGGAAGCTGAAGATTAGCTGTGACTGTAGGACCATGAAAAGAAACACATAGATTTGAACTATATCAAAGGCCCCCTGCTGCTCCTCTCTTCCTGCTTCCCTAGATGCAGTATAAGTGCAAGGCAGCAAGGTTAATTGAAACATATCTGAATCAACCCTGCTGAGAGGATTCAGACTGCAACAAAATGTAACTTTAAATGCATGGTTGGTTCCCAAGTCCTAGGTGAGAGAGACTCATACTCCCTCCCCTGCTCCAGAAGTTTAGGATTCCCTGAGGGCAGCTGTACCTGGAGGTAAACTGGCTCTTTCTTATTCATGGCTCAGTACATCCAACTGCATGGCTCAGCATGCGGTGGCTGCACAAATCAATGTGAATGCTGAGGTTAGGCACCCCCATAAGAGAAGGAAATAGATTTAGAGGTCAGATCCTCAGCTGTGTAGCACCACTGAAGTCAATGGAGCCATGTTGATTTACTCCAGCTAAAGATCTGGCCCTCAGAGTCCATTTGAGTCAGTACTGAAGCCTGCTGGGGTCCCGCAAAGGACTTCATACAACAGGCCAGCAAAAGGCTGGGGGACTGGGACATGTCTCCCTCATTTCAGGTGGCTGCACCTCTGTTGACGATAGCAAAGGAAGAGAGAACCAGCCTGGGATGAGATCTGTCCACTCACCTCAATGAAGAACAAGGCAGCGTTGGAGGTGGGGTGGCTGCTGATGTAAATTACAGCAAGAATAATGGCTGCAATGAGCAGGATGGCCAGGACTATGCCCACGATGGTCCCGGTGTGAATCGGGGCTCCAGATGTCTTTGTGGGAAGGTCATTTCTCACTCCTGAAAAGGGGATCGTGACAGAAGATGGGAATGCAGGGAGAATGGCTGGGATCAGAGAGGCAGAGAAAGCACACAGAACTGGGAACAAGGGGAGAGACTTAGGCTTTGTCCACACTACCGTTTTTGTCAGGATAATTTACGTCGCTCAGGGGTGTGAATAAGCCCTAAACACCGGTGTGTTGGTGGGAGAGCTTCTCCTGCTGACATAGCTACCGCCGCTCGCTGGGGGTGGATTATTTAAATGGATGGGAGAGCTCTCTCCTGTTGGCTTAGAGTGGCTACACTAGAGAGCTTACAGCGGCACAGCAGTGAGGAGGACTTTGCCCACACTAGTATTCATCCTCAACAATGATATGGTGATGTGCATACCAGTGCCCATTGGTGATTACATTTGTCAGGCCTACTGAATACCTTCAGTTACATGGGATACACCTCGACTGTCCTGTGCATAGTGGTGGCAGCAAGTTGGGAAGCTTGGTGGAAAGGAAAGTCAGAGACAGTTCCCCCAGTGCTGCTGTTCTTGTGAAGCCAAGCATGTGGCTGGTTCATAGAGAGCAGAAGTGAGCTACTGTGACTATCAAGGAGATCTCTGTTAGTTCAACTGGTAGAGGCCCATGATTCAAGCTGAAGGATCTTCTACTACCGGCTTCCCAGTGCAGTGTGTGTGACTCACCTGCAGCCAATTAACTTATTACAGTGATGCTTGCAATACATTCCCCACATCCTGCTCTTGTGTTTTTTAACCCCAAAATAATTTAGATGAAGCAAACTGTCCCCCTGGGGAGTGGGGGAGTGGCTCCTGAATCCTACAATCCCTTTCAGAGGACGGCAGTATTTGGCTGGAGAGATGAATGAGCAAGAGCTCGCTCAGTCTATATTCCTCATGTACCAAGATGCTCATTCTGATGCAAACCCATTAGCCGTATGCTGCCTGGTGTTCTTAGCATATCGTGCCCACAGTCCCTTTCATTTCTTAGTCATGAATATTCAATTGCACAGAGGGGAGAAGCAAGCAGAGCCATGGAGGGTGATTCAGGTACAGATTAGTATTGACATTACCAGACATTCAAGGAGCAATTTGGCTGAAATTGAGAAGGTCTCAGATTTCAAAGGCTTTTTGGTTACAGAGGGCCTAATCCTGCACCTACGATAGTCAGTGGGATTTTATTATTAACCTCTATGAGCAACTTTAGCATAAGTGGGATGGACTTATGGTTTACATATACACCTTCCACAAATGTCCAGGGATGCTGGTGCCACAGTACTGACTGTGAACTATACATCACAGCAAGAAGCATTGTGACAGTCCTCAGACCCCAGTCGTAACAGCACTATGATAACCTAGACATCGGAGATGAACCATTGGCATAAAGGAAACAGAGAGAATCAGAGCTGGACTAATAGCAGTGCTGCTTTACAATATTAAGTTTTAAACATTCTCCTGAACTGTTGAGGAAACTCAAAGGCAACTCACCTGTGGGAATACATGGGGACCAGAGAGTGAAATGGATTATATAGAAAGTGAAAACTGATCAGCCTAGTTATCTGCCAGGGCTGAGAAATAGACAAATACAAACACACCGCTTCAGGGATAATCAGATTGTTCCAATTCTCTCAGTTTTTACCATCCCAAGGTAGTATTAGTAACCCAGGTGAGGATAACAGGATTCTGATCTTGCTTGCATCCCTTTAAATCTGGGGTTTTCTTGCCCTCTCCTTTGACTTACTATAACTAGCCAGAGAACAAGGTGAGTGAGGTAATATCTTTTGTTGGACCAACAGAAGCTGGTCCAATAAAAGATACTACCTCACCCACCTTTGTCTCTCTAATATCCTGGGACTGACACAACTGCAACACTTCACATAACTAACCAGTTCATTTGATTTCACATAACACATTCCCCTTAGGAAGAATCTGACTGGGTGATGAGAAGGTTAAAGACTTACCATCCCCTCCTGCAAACTGATTCAGCTTTGTGTCATCTGTAAGAGGGAAACAAAAGCAAGAAAAGGGTAGGAAAGTTAGTAGACCCTTATGGGGCTCTTCATTTTGTACACCACTACACCCCATATATAGTTCCGCCCCTAAAACATGCCTCTTTGTATTGCCCTGTTACAGTTAAGAGTAGTTTTACCTCATTCAGTTTGGTGGGGGGAAAAACACTCAGAAAACAAGACAAGACAATAGTGAAATGTCAGGGGTTTTGTTTACAGTCCCATTCAGTGCATGTGGCAATTGAAGTTCTTAATGAATCTCTCCTTAAATAAGCACTCTCAGCATGGAAGCACTGTGCGTAGTAATGAATGTATAAAGGATCAGGCCCTATGTTTGCGTGTGATGTGCAATCACACTCTTCTGATAGGAGTGGATAGGAATGGCAAAGGTTAGTTGATTCATGAGTGTGTGTGCACATGCATAATTCCCCAAAAGTCTAGATCTGGAAAATTCAGACCCGAATGAGGTAATCATTAATAATTAAGACTCTCTTTATATTTAATCTATGCCATTTGCTGCAACATGTCAGTGTACATTGCTAGCTCTCTGCTGACTCATATAGGTAAGGCAAGGATGTTAACCCAGAGTCCACTCCATGGGGGGCCAGAAATCCATTTCCACTTATTCTCTGCCTGGAAGGTAACACCATACAGATTGTAGGAGGCTCCCTGTCTGATATGAGCACCTATGAGACAGTCCATCAAAAATCCTGACCCAGATTTCTTTGCTGCTTAGCTTGGACTCTGTCTACCCCAGGCGCTGAAATAAATGACAGGACGCCAGCTAGTCAGCTGCATTCACATACGTCTCCACTGAGCAAAGCCAGGCTGGGTGGGGAAGATGCAAAGGGGTGCGTCCTGTTTTGCTTTGCTTCTCAGATAAAATTTGCTACCTCACACAGCTGGCTGCTTGTTTCTGTCCAAGATTACAAATTAATTTCATGCTTGAATGTGTCACAAAAAGCCTCTTGTTCTTCCAAGACTCAACCGTGAGTTGGAAAATCAGCTCAGTAGTTTTGTTTTTTCCCCCTTCCCTTAATTGCTCTTTTCAAAGTTGATCCGTCAGCGACGCACTCTCCATGCCCCCCATTCTCCATTGCTCAAGGACAATTACTCATGTTCCTTTCTATTTATTCTAATTAGCGTTTTGCATGAGGAACTATTAAACACTGAAATTGAAGTGATACCTGCCACGGACGGGAAGACATGGCCCATGTGTTAATAGGATTAATAGGGGTGTCCCAAAGGACTCTGGGCCTTTACTTGGGGCTTCTTAAACCATCCGATGAAGTGAGCTGTAGCTCACGAAAGCTTATGCTCAAATAAATTTGTTAGTCTCTAAGGTGCCACAAGTCCTCCTTTTCTTTATACCAGAGAGAATTCCATTCTTGGACCAGAAGGTAATGCACATGCCTATGGGTTTATTACCCACAATGTGATGACACCGCCAGCCATAGGTCGTCAGTGGGGATCAAACAGGGGATCTCTACTGCTTGAGCTAAAGTCCAGCAGGGTCCTTAACCTTTCATGGAGCATCCATTAGAAGGAGACAAAGTTCCGCACTGTGGTCTGGTGGGTTACACCAAGGGGAGGTTTTGGAGAAGAGTTTAAATCAAAACCCCAGACCCAAACAGACCCCAAACTAGAATGCTTGGATCATGACGGTGAGGAACTCTGTGGCTCCATGTCGAGAGAAGCTGGACCATGTTCAGAGATGAGTCTAGCATAACTTGCACTTTTTTCCAACCCTATCAAACGATGCATGTTATACCAGCTTGCTGTGCCTGCATGCCCCTTCACACGGGGGTTATTCATGATAGGAGAGTTTTATGGCTGCTCTGTAGTCACGTTTTGCCACCAGTGCAAGGCAGCTGCAATGCAGCTGTGAGTTCCCCTCCACGGGGAGGTCTCACCTATGCCACCTTCTAGATCATGCTGAATCTCTCCTCTCTCTATTCTCATCTTCCTTTTCTCTGCCCCACTCCTCCTCTCCTTGTGCCTACAGCTATAGGATTGGCTAGCCAGGAATGTTAACTACATTCTCTTGGATATGACTTCATCTCACTAGGCCTGGGAGGGAAAGATCTCTCCAGGGACAGACATTTGGGGCAATGTGCCTGGAGAGCACTGCTACTGCTTGCCCTTTAGCCCTGGGCTCGCTTCCCCTACCCCAGCTATTCACCCCATTCCCAGCTGCCGGTACCTTCCGTGGTGAGGCTGCCAATGAAAAGAGAGGAGGTAGTGACATCTTCATCAAATGACGTGAAGGGGCTGTTTGGGGACGGTGAGTAGTGGTCGCTCTCTGCCCAGTCCTCACAGGTCCTCTCGTCCGACTGAAAAGACAAATGGAGAAAGGCTACTATTCCCAGCAATCTTCCAGCAACAGGACCCCTTTGTGCCTAAATCAACCCAGCCAGTAAACTGGGCACAAAGCAGCGACTTTGAGGGTGTTGGGAGGGGGGAAACCAACAAGATGTATCACCAGAGCTGATCTTTCTTAGGCAAACCGATTCATTCAGGCAGTGTAGAGATAATTATACTAGCTAGGATTAAAATGGCAAGGGCTAAATATCTTCATGCTTCAGGGTGGATAATAATCATGCTCCAGAGGGTCAGGAAGAAATCTCCCCAATCAGATTGCACCTTCAGGTGCTTTATGGAGGCTTTTAGACCTTTCTCTGAAGCTTCCAGCATTGGCCAATGCCAGAGACAGGACACCAGATTAGAAGTACTGGTGTCTTCCAGTATAGCAAGAAGGTGGGATGCCAGATTACATGGGCCATCGATCATTCCTCTAAGGCAGGGAGGTGAGATACTTAACAAAATGGATCACTGTTTCTGGTGCAGCAGGGAGGGACGATACCAGACTAGATGGACCATTGGTCTGTTCCAGAATGGCAGTCCTTATGTTCTTATGGACCATGCAGAGCTCATAAGGAGTCTTCATCTCTGGAGGGCTGGGACATATGCCATTGTCTGAATCTCTTTTCCTTTGTTCTATGTCATAGGCAATTCAACCCTCTCTCTGTCTCAGGAGCTAAATGGCTACAAACAGGTCTGAGAACCAATTGTCTTAGTGGGAATTCCAGAGGCAGCCAAATCTCTCACCATGAGAGAGAGAGGTAGAGTAACCTGTGAGCAGAATCCACCTTTTCTGGGAAGCTGGGGGCCACTGACATCATCACACTGTCAGCCCAAGGGAAATAAGCCTTCCCTCGATCTCACCTCTTGGCCACAGCCATGTGACAGCCACTCCTCACGGTATCGGTCAAACCCACTGGAGCATCTACAGAGAGAAAGGATGTTACTCAGTGATGGGTGCATTCTCTTCTAGACACAGCTAGCAAAGGCAGCCAGGGTTTAGGCCACAATGGTCATGTGACCATCTTATGTGGGTGGCATTGCTTATCTCACACGTATGGTGGTAATCAGTGTGAGAACCCCAGGTGCTACCACGACGGGCATTATGTATAGATAATTGGACAAATACATATCTGAAATTAGCCAATTGCAGAGGACTGAAAAGAACAGATAGAAGGGGGTCCCGATGGACATTGGGATTCCAACACAGCTGTGCTGGAAGGACCCAAACTTTCCTCTTTCTGGAAGACAGAGAGGGGCAGGAAAATAGGACTATATACGTATATATACAGTGACTTTGAATTTCCGTCCTCTGGACTCTGCCAGGGGAAGGCCATGAACTCCGCAGTGTTTTTTCCAGCAACATCTGTACAAGAAAAGCAACATAATAATAATATTATACAGCACCAAGAAAACACCAGCTAGAGAATTCTCTGCAAAAACAGAGGGAACTGAGCAGAACTCTGACCTTAGGAAGGTCTCAGGGGATCACTGAAGGGTGAATCAAGGACTCAGCCAGTACAAGGCATCCACCCAAAGACAAGCAAGCTGAGCAGAAGGGGGCCTCTGGGGAATTCAGGTCCCACAGAGTTCCTAACCTCCACTGTGCTGAAATGTTGCTCCCATAGAAATTAGGAGCTCAGCAAGAGCAAAGATTCAATCCGTCCTAGCCAGGGAACAGACGAAGAAGAAGCATGGTCTTGTGGTTGAAGCACTACACTAGAACTTAGGGGACAGTTCAGTTCCTGGATGTGCTACCAGCTTCCTGTGTGATGGTGGACAAGTCATAGCAGGTGGGATTCTTCAAAGAGGATGAGCCCCTTTTGGAAGTCAATGAGACAGTGACCGACTAGCTTAGGTCCTCTCTACAGTCCCACCCTAAATCTCTCCATGCTGCAGCTTCCCCACATGTAAAATGGAGGAAATAATTCCCTTTCTCCCAGCCTTTGACTGTCTTGTCTATTTAGATTGTAAGCTCTTAGCGGGCCGATATGCATGTATGGCCCTGGGGACAAATGCCTCTCAACCAGGGCTTCTAGGTGTTACTGTAATACAAATAATAATAGTACAACTGAGCTTCAGTGAATTGGGGGTTGGAAGACCAGAGTTGCCTGCAACAATAATTAGAGATGGACTGCAAAAGGATTGCCATGAGCATCGGGGTTTCAGACCAGCCAGGACCCAGACCTGATCTGCCTTATTTGGGATTTGTTTTTACAACCAGCTTCACCCATCTCTCTCGCTGGTAATAACAGAAGATTTTCTCCTCTGAAGCCACTGACTGGGTGATGGTCATTTCAGAAGGAAACCCCATGGCTATGGGTTATGCTTCAGCCTCAGCCCAGTGGGAGGCAATGAATTGAGGATTGATGCCTGCCTAGTATGCTAGCTTGAGGGAGGGAGTCAGAGCCATTCGCTGCCCCAGCAGTGTCACACAGGTTCGCTTGAGACTGGAGATGGAGCTGTTGCACAAAGGGGAGAAAAGACACGAGCATGAGCCCTGGAGGACTATGATATAAAGCAGCGACAGAAAGGAGGAACACAGCTTCCCCCGGAGCCCTATCCCAGTCAGCCCCTCTCTGCCAGGGAGGCAGAATAGAGCCACCTCCTATCTAGAGTGCTGTTGGGAGTGGAGATGAAGAGGGCGCCAGAGGGAATGCTGTCCCTGAGCAGCCAGGCATTTCCTTGGCATGAACATCACTACACAGAAGCAGCAGATCTGTGTTACTGGGTCTCCTCCCCTGCCACCAGCTCAAAATACATCCTATTTCACTGAAACCTCATTAAACTGCTGCATACTCCTCATTGCCATGCTGGCAAAAGGAGACGGCCTATTTAAATCCTGGGATGGCAGGCAGAGCCCAAAGACATCCCCCCATCCCCACCCCAGACGCTGACCACTCTGGAGACTGGAGACCGCTATTTACCCTCAGGACGGGCACAGCGGTGACAGGCAGGTTCCCCCATCAACATGCCTCACTCCTGACCCAAGGGGACCCTCAGCCCACAACTGTAGGGACCAGAGGGGAGTTCAGTCTCCGTGACCCATTCACCCGCCACATGTCCCTCCATCTGAAACCTAAAGTCAGCCCTGGGCAGCTCCCCTCCTTCCCTCACCGGCCTCTCTCTGCTGCTTGGAATCAGAGAAATGTAGGTCTGGAAGGGAATCTGAGAGGTCATCTAGTCCAGCCCACCCCCCACGCTGAGGCAGGATCAAGCATAGCCCATCCCTAGCTGGAGTTTGTCTGGCCTGATCTTAAAAACAGGGGAGGGCCAGGAGGATGGCAGCCCCTGCCACAGAAGGCTGCCTGGGTTGCAGAGCAGCAGGACCAGCAGGCAGAACTGCCTCATGCGGTAGAGCTGGGAGCTCAGCATTTACTCCTGGTCATGCCTGCTGAAGCTGCCAGCAAGGGGCCCTGTTGGTGCCAGTTACAGTGGTGGGGTATTTTTTGTGATGGGCAGCCCCCACCCCTTCCTCCCCCAGGCTGAATTCCTTTCTCACACGTTGCTCTCAGCTAATCTGTACTGGAGATGGGCCAGAGCCACAAAGTCCCGATGGAGAGCTGGGTGGGGTTTGATCCAGGGGTCCAGTTTGGCTCTGGATCCAGGTTAGGATTCCAAACCCATCCCAGTTGCTTCAGGGTATCAGATCCGTGGGGTTGCTTAGGCCCATGGCAGAGTTAGAGGCCAACAGTCCAGCACTGTGGAAGCCACTCTGGATTGGGACGCCACTGAAAGGAGAAGGTGCACAGCAGAAAGAGACAATATTTGACTCCAGGCTGGTATCCTCCTAATGAAGAGCAGACAGGAAAAAAGTTGGGGCTGGCCTTTCAGTCAGCCCTCTCTGATTCCTCCACTGGCCTCCTCCCCAGTTGGTAAATGGCATGTATTTTTCCCCAACTGAGCACTACTAAGGCCAGATTTCCAGAAATGCCTAATACCCATAAATCCAACGGAAACCAATGAGAGTTGCAGGCTGTCAGGACCTCTGTACTTTGTGCTAGATTCGGTTGCTCCCATCCACACTAGCAGGACAATTGTTTGCAATACTAGTTTATGGAAGGGGGACAGAAAGAAGGGGAACTGCCCTAATTGACATCTCACATCAAATGGAGTAGTGTTTCCAGTACAGACACAGCACAAGATTAAGAGATATTCTGATCTGCTAGTCTGCCCTCCTGTATAAACCAGGCCAGAGAACCTCAACCAGGGGTTCCTGCATCCAGCTCATAACTTCTGGTTGAGCAAGAGCAGACCTTTCAGAAAGACATCCAGTCTTGATTTAAAGACTTCAAGTGATGGGGAATCAATCAGGGTCCTAGGTAAATCATCCCAATGGTTAATTACCCTCTCTGACAAAATACGCATCTTATTTCTAGTCTGAACTTGTCTAGCTTCAGTTTCTGGCCATTGGATCTCCTTTGTCTGCCAGATTAAAGAGCCTTCTACTGTCCGAAACGTCAGGTACTTGTAGACTGTGATCAAGTCATCTCTTATCCTTAAGATTTGGACCACATTAGCACTTTCTTAACAAGAGCCACGTACAAACTCTAAAAAGAGGCTGACACTGTTACAGGTCTCAGTTTAGATTAGGCCCAAGGTTGCAACTTCCTCTGCCAGCTCTGGAAGCACTAGCATAACTAGGACCCAGAGAGGAAACCCATCTGAGTTACCTCTGCAGGACATGACACCAGCTACAGTTGAAAGTCAGCTCCGAGGTCACGCACACGTCACAGCTCTGATGCTGGAGACAGGCTGCAAGAAAAAGAAGAAATGTGCCAGCAACACACTATCATCAGGAGGATTGGTTACAAGGGAGCATACAGTCAAAGTTGGGAGGGGGCGTGGCCAAAGAAGACCATGGACAGATGAGCCTTTGCTCTGACTTCAGGCTGCCATGAGCTTGGAACTCAAGTCAGCAGCTTCTTAGCAGGAATGGGATGATAATATTTCAGCAAGGGACTCCCACCCAACTTAGCCTGAGATAAAACCCATCCCAGGCCTATGCTGTTTCCTATTTAGACACAGAGCTAAGGAGGGAGGGAACACAAACCGATTAAACTTCGATTGTTGACAGAGTCATTCATTTGTCATCCTCTCTGGGAAGGATCGTTTAACAGCATCCATCTTCTACCAGAAGCTAGCAAAGCATCCCAGCCTTCCCTTTGGCTGCAGAGTTTTAACAAAGCCTCCCCTGGGAGGCCCACCCATCCAGCACATCATGGCATAGTCCAGAGTTTAACCTTGGTTTAATACTTTACAGCACCAAGCACACATTTGGCTCTGCATTCATCCACTTCTGAGCCCCACATACCTCTCCCAGCAAATCTCTGTCCTGACTGCCAACCCCACTGCTACTCCAGCCCTGGGCTCCCCACACTCACAGCTCTGCCAAAGTCCCTCAATTCTGACCCACAGCTCCCCTGCTATCCCAGCCCTAGGTTCCCTACCCTACATTCCTCTGATACCCCTCAATTTTGACCTCCAACCCCACCCCCACACTCTGCTATTCCAGTCCTGGTCTTCTTCTTAGCAGAGAACGTGAACTTACACTGCAGTGGGGACAAGTGTCCTCCAGGGCCTCCCAGAGGATTCAGGGGGCCGGGGGTCTTCTCACCAGGGCCTGGGGCAAATTGCTCCATTTGCCCCCCCCCCCCCGGGAGGCCCTGGTGTCCTCTAGGGAGTAGACACAGCCCTGCCACGCTCATTCCACTTATGACCTAAATAGGGCTGAAACTCACATCTCCAGGAGGTACTTTCCCATCAGCTCTCAACTCCCCCAGCTGCCAGGGGAAAACAAAGCAGCTAGTCTTAGGATTTTTTTTTTTTTAAATCACAGAATCCTTATTTATGATCTGCTTTGCAGTAGCCATGCCTGCTGTTAAGATGGTTATAAAATACCCAGGCGATGCTGTTTAAATGCATAACCTTGGCATACTTGGGACAGGTTTATTCTCTGTCTGGTATTTATGTACTGCATGACATGTCTTCCTGTGTATGAGTGTCCTTGGTCCTTTGCCTGCCATTGTATCTATTTAACAGGATCGTTTGTGAATATCACAGGGGGAGGGCTGGTTATTTGTTCAAAGAGCACTCTCCACCTTGCTTTGAAAGGGTCTCGGGAACCAGGCTGCAATGCTTAGAATCGTTATCTGCAAGGGCGGGGGAACCATATGGCATGGAAGAGGAGTTGCTTCCCTTCTCTCCAGAGCTGGTGTTCAAATACAGATTCGCATCACAGGCACACTGAATCCATGTCTACACTACAGCAGAGATGTGTTGGTCAGGGGTGAAGAGGTGGGATCCCTGACCAACAGAGCTATGCTTGCAAAGGCCCCTGATGTAGATGTAGTTATACTGACATGTCTTCCTGTGTATGAGTGTCCTTGGTCCTTTGCCTGCCATTGTATCTATTTAACAGGATCGTTTGTGAATATCACAGGGGGAGGGCTGGTTATTTGTTCAAAGAGCACTCTCCACCTTGCTTTGAAAGGGTCTCGGGAACCAGGCTGCAATGCTTAGAATTGTTATCTGCAAGGGCGGGGGAACCATATGGCATGGAAGAGGAGTTGCTTCCCTTCTCTCCAGAGCTGGCGTTCAAATACAGATTCGCATCACAGGCACACTGAATCCATGTCTACACTACAGCATAGATGTGTTGGTCAGGGGTGAAGAGGTGGGATCCCTGACCAACAGAGCTATGCTTGCAAAGGCCCCTGATGTAGATGTAGTTATACTGGCAAAACTGAGCTTGTACCAGTTTAGCTTGCTAGGGAGGGAGCTGGAATAAGCTATACTAGCAAAAGCTGCATCCACACCAGGAGAGCAATAAGGCTGTACCCCCAGCAAAACATTCCTGCTGTAGACATGGTCTCAGCTCTTGTGAATGTCTGTCAACACAAACTGATGTGACTAGCCTGGCTGGAATGAGAACAGCAGGGGTGCTGCAAACTGAGGTGGACAGACATCAGTGCTGACTGGCTGGCAATTGGAGTAGCGGGGGGGCCGGGGGGAGAGATGCTGCAGCTCAGGGTAAGATGTGAAGGTTAGGGAGGAGAAACATTGGCAGAGCTAGATGGGAGGGATGGGACTGAAGAACAAGGGGAGGGGGATTGCAGCTTAGGATCGTGGTACATAAGAGCGGGGGAAGATGGCATTGTGTCTGTTGTTCTCACTCACTTCAGGACTGCAAAACTAGTCAGAAGGTGTGTTATTGGTCCCCCTAGATTTATCCCTTCACCCATTCCCACACCACGGCAGTGTTGCTGCCATCCGCTTCCCAGCTCTGCTACAAAGCAGCCCCAATGGTGCTAGGCTCTTGGGAATTGCTATGGGGTGGGACCGAATCCAGGCAGCAATTGCAGCTCCATAAACACAGAGGTCAGCAGGCATCAAATCAGGGATCTTCAACCCCAAAATATATGCCTGTGGCTGTAACCAAATGAGTTGGGCAGCAGACAGCGTATGACTCACTGGGCAGTGGGGTGAACTCCACGGCCGACACGCTGGTGACCTTGCTGGTGTCCAGCTCCACGCGGTGGTACTCGTAGATCGTCCTGCGGCGAGACTCTGCAACAGCAAGGGGCCACATCAGACAGAGGCACAAGCCCATTTTATCCCACCTGCTCCCCGCTCCCCAACCCAGATGGACTTGGCTGCTGACCTGTGGGGTGGTGAAGTGACTCAAAGAACCTGGGCTCATCCTGGGAATCGAGTCAGGGATGGGGAAGGGTCCCCGAATCCCTGGGGTGGGGAGTGGCAAATTCCTAGCTGAAATGCTAATGTGGGCAGCTGAGGCCCAGGGCCATCACTACAGGAGCGAACCAGTGCGCAGGTGCTGGGAGGGGAGTGGGAAAAAGAGGGATGCTGGGAGGGAAGGCAGAGGAGGAGTGCTGGTGGAGGGGGAAGGGGTGTCCTCCATGTTCTCCCTGCTTCACACTAGGAGGAGTTTGGAACTGTCTGTCCTGTCTCCATCCTCCCCAACACCCACAAACTCCTGAAACCAACATGATCTGGTTCTGCATCATTCTCAGGACGCATGGGGCATGACTCCAAGCCTCCCCCACACCCATAGCTCCCCTTTGCAGGAGGCACCAGCCTCCTGTTTCCTATCCCAACATGCTTCCAGTGCTGCTTGTCCCTTGCTCCCCTCACTCTGCCTTTTTGCCTCCCCTTCAGTCTAGCAGCCAGAGCAGGGGGGTCCAGAACCCAGGACACTTGGGGTCTCTCCCTGGCTCTGCCACTGACTGGCTGGATGACCTCGGCCAAGTCACTTTACCTCTCTGGGCTTGTGGCCCTGGAGTGCCAATGCTGACTATCCCTCCAACTGTGTGCATGCATGTGTGTGTGTGTGCGCGCACATGCGTGAGCCTGCCTCACATCCACTGTACATACAGAGCTTGGAGACTCTTGGATGAGCAGGGCACAGTGCTTCTCTTCCGCCTCCTCCTTCCAGCTCCACATTGCCCCTCCCATCCCTGCTAGGTTCACACCAGCCTGGGGGCCTTGCAGGCAGGTGGGAGGCAGGGGTATGGTCCCAATGTGCAGTGTGAACCCAGCTGGGGGCAGGCAGGAGAGGCATGATGCAGGCCAGGTGAGGTTTTAAACGGGTAATAAATGAAGGCCAGATTACTGGTTCCATAAATAAGCAACAGCAAAGGCAGCGGGTGCAGCACAACCTTCCCAGGGACACAGGGAGAGTATGGTCAAGTTTCTCATTACAAGAGAAAAAGATGAGAGATGGGCTAAAACAGCCCTTTCTACACACACACACACACACACACACACACACACACACACACACAATTCATGACAGGTTCACACAACACACACAGCACGTGACAACATGCATGCAACATGCATATTGCAACCATATGCAGCTTGCACGATAGGTACATGCAACACAGACAGCACATGTGACAACGTGCAGGCAACACAGACTCTGCAGTCAGCTCACATGCAATATGGCACATATAGCAGTGCAAAGCCAGTTGATTCTCTTTCTTGATCACATGAAGGAAGAAAGTTCTTCTCTTTCAGCAGTGAGGCCTTGGAGTGCTAGCATCTGAGAGTCATGTGCTGGGGGCACAGGGCCAATGGGACTCTGATGGGTAAGTGATCAGCCCCACTCCACAGCTTCCATCCTCCCTCATTGCTCACCATAGAGTCAGCAAATGCAGCCACACCAGCAGAGACTCACCTGGAACGTCAGGGGAAGGGTTGAGGAGCATGAAGGCATCGGACAGGCCGGCTTTGACAGGGTGCTGTGTGGCGCTGATCTCCAGGACCGACATGGGGATCTGGAACGGGGAGAGAGAAGAGGCCATGAAACCGTGGGGCTCCCCCTGAAGCTGTGTGCTTGGGACGCGTGTCTCAGGGGGAAGCAGCAGAGTGAAGGGCGATGAAATGGCTTAGCTGATGTGCTATTGAGTCTTCTCCCCTCCTATTTCCCTTACACCGCAGAAGCAGTTTTGAGGCTGCTGTTTTAGACCAGCCTGGGCCATACCGGGGTTTGCCCGTGTGTGTTTGGAGGTGCCCTAGGCCCATCAGCCAGGCCTTCCAAGGCTCAATCAATCCCCTTCGGAATAACAAGCATAGCTGGCTCAGGCACTGCATACAGGACATTAGTGCGGAGCGCATGTGACTGGCCGTCCTCTGGGTTAACAACAGCAGGGACTGAACTGGCAAACTCCTGAGCTAGATGCATGAGTCTCTAGCGTCAGTGAAAGAGCCAGGCTTTGTGGGTGGGGATGTATCAGACTCGTACCCTCTGTGGGTCAAGTCCGGGATGGGGTGTCACATAACACACACTGACCAGTGGTTTATATGTACAGACCCCCTTTCTCACAGAGGTTTGCCCTAACCTGGCCCTGCTGTGGAGAAGGAAGGCAGCCATTCTCCCTGCTACGCCTTCCCCCTCCCAGCATGTCCTTTGCTCCATCCCGTGCCTCCCACTCCAAATCCAGCCCTCCCCCATACCTCCCACTCTATTCCCAAGCCCCCACCCCCTTAATCTGCCCCATTCACTTCCCCACCAGACCCCCCTAATCCTATCCCACGTGCGCCATCTCGCCTCTGCTTGGAGATGCGCCTGGGTTGGAGAGACCTGCCCTGGGCTCGCTGAGCCCAGCATGACCTGAGGATGCAGTGAGTGTTCTCAGCATGGGGGCAGCTAAGCCATTGGAATGAGAGGGCCAGGGACTCCACAGTCACTAGCCCAGCCTCCTTTGTCTTTCCTTCGTGGGGTTTAGGTTTTGGCCCCCACCCTTCCCGCCCCATCTGCCCACAGGTGTTACAGCACCTGCAATAACCACGTCCCACGCAGCAGGTCCTGCTCACCTCCTTGTACCCAAAGATGATTCTCCCTTCGCTGTGCAGAGCAGCCTGGAATGTGAAGCTGCCGATGTCCTCCTTCCCATGAAGATAGACCTTGTCCCACTGCACCACAAACACTGTCCCTGGGGGAGAGAGGAGATGACACAGTGGGGCAGGAGGCAGCAGAGGAGATTGCAGGGATCAGTTTCATTCCCTGTGCACCATCTGCAACGACCATCCCATAGGCACTTGCAGAGCCGGTGTACTCGCTGTGACAACCTGGCTGCAGTCACATACATTACACCCCACACAGCACAGCAGCTGCAACAGTCACACACCCTCCCCACTTGCACACAAAAAACCCCAGCCCACAGCCACAACCAAACCTCACACAGCCTGAATCTGTTAGCTGGCTACTTCACCTTGAATGGTCCCTTGAAATGCACGTTAACTACTTATGCTAAACAATCTGTTCCACTTTGTATTTAGCAGTGACTATTTCCCAGAGGAAAGCTCAGAAACTTGTCTCTCTCACTAACAGAAGTTGGTCCAATAAAAGATATTACCCCCCACCTTCCTTGTCCCACAACCACACCCACCAGCTCCAGCCACAGACCCTCGCCTCTCCCCCCTGCCAGTAGTGCACCCCACACATGCAGGCTCAATGTTGCGCAACTAATTTGGCCACAGCCAAAAGTTCCTGGAACTAGCGTGAGTCATTTGGGATGGGACGATCCAGTTTTTACTCCCTCCCTTATCTCAATGGTATGGAGGAGCTGGCCCTTTCTTTTGCCACATGAGACACTCCAGATCCTCCTCTCCTGAAGTCTGCAGCCCATGGTTTTCAGTAGACCCAGGACTGAGCTCCAAATAAACCTGATTTTTGGTGCTCACCAGAGTGTCCTAAGGTCCACCCCGCACTATCAGATATACCAGCTCTGCTGCTAATCCTCTGAGCACGCACACAGGCAGAGACACACTCCCCCCAGGCCACATATAATACGTCACACACACAAGGATACATGTCACACACATTGCACATGGACACAGGCAGACACGTCGTTCAGAGGGACACACAGAGACAGACATGTCAAACAGAGGGACACACGTCAGACACAGAGATGCCCATTGACACAAAACACGGATGCACAGAGACACATCACGCACACAGGGACACACGTCTCTCTCTCTCTCACACACAAACACTTGCTACACCACCTCAAAGCAGGGGCATAAATTCCCAAGTCCGGCCTGTTTTAAATTCCCAAGTCCGGCCTGAGGTCCTCCATGCAGCACTGTTTGTGTACCCAGGACTGAGCCCAGTTGAGATGCCAGAGGCCAAAGCAGTACCAGGCCCCAAACGGTGCGTTCTCAGCACCTTGCCCCCGGACACTCCTGGCTGCTGCCTCAGCTGGTTCCTCTCCCCTGCTGTGCAGGGATGAGGGCTGCCCAGTGATCTTGGAATTCCGGGTGCAGGTGCCGAGAAGCAGCCAAGTTCCCCAGGGGGCTCTGTGCATTGTGTGTGGCAGTGGGGCTGTGCAAAGGGCCAAGTGGGCCAGGGAAGCGGCTCACCATTGTCGAAGTACTTGATGGTGGAGTTGCGGGAGTAGCTGGGGTTGAAGTTGGCCATCAGGGGCGCAATGTATTGGGTGGCTGTGAGCATGCGGTGAATGACATCCCCCATGAAGATGAAACCTGGAGCGAGAGCAAGGGAAGGCAATTTACATGCCCATCCCCTCACCCCCACCCCACTGCCCTAGGACACCCGCTACCAGCTTCTCCCCCACCCCTTACCCCAGATGTCTCCCCACCACTGCCCCTGACTAGAGTTGGGGCTGAACTGAAGTACCCTGGAGCTGGGCAGTTTGGATCCCAGGTTCTGGCTCATGTGTCATGGTACCATTCAGCACTAATTAGAGAAGATGGACTTGACCACATAAGCCCCTGTGACATGGCAGTGAGCTCCACTTTACAGTGGGGTAAACTGAGGCACGGAGAGCCAAAGAGACTTGCCCAAGGCCACCCCACACATCAGTGGCAAAACTGGGATTAGGATGTGCAAAGGGAGGCTGGTTAGAGACACCCATGTCAGCCCATTAGGCAACACTGCCTCTCCAGCTGATGCTGCCTGTCAGCACACCCAGGCAAGACAAGTAAATGTGGCCTCACAATGCTTCACTCACCTCCTGTCGCTATGGTGATCTGCCGCAGGTGATGGCCATAAAAGGGAAAGTCAAAGGACAGGATGACTCTCTGTGGAGACAGACAGGGGACAGCATCAGTGTGGGAGCCACACTGGGAAGTGCCATGTCTGACCATGGGCGTCTGGGAGGGGCAGGTGGTGCTGCTCCCAGGGAGATGGGTTAAAGCAGCGGGGGACGCAGGGGCAGACAGCACTAGAGAGCAGTGTACTATCTTTCCAAGACATGCTGCGCCCTGCCCCATCTGGCATAGACTCTGGGCACAGCCCTGCTGAGAGGAGAAATGCCAGAAATTGATTCATCTGCCCCTTCGGAATGGGCTCCAGGGGGGACCCGGGGGAGGTGGAGTCCAGTTGGAGCACAGGCTGGGCCCACCCACATCTCCCCTGATACCCTGACAAGCAAAGCTGAACACTTAGCAGGTATTTGTGGAAGGCAAAGCTAGTCTCTAGCCTGTCTCTCTCCCATACAGGCACATGAGCTGTGGGGAGCTCCGGCCAAGGTACTAGTGCCCCAGGTCAGGAAATCCTGGAGAAGAGAGAAGCTGCTGGGGAAACATTCCCAGGTCACTGGCGTGGCACCATGGTGGATGCCCGATGCAGGGACGGCAGCAGCTAAGTGGAGGGAGGGAGCTCACCGAGGCCTGCCTGTGCGTGTTGGACAGGATCCCATGGACTTTCACTTGGCTTCTGTTGGCTTCTGCCATGTCGATCCAGAGCTCTTTGGTGCGCGCCTCCCCCGGCCCGTAGAACCGCGACATGTAGTAGCTATGGTTGTCTTCCTGCAGCCACAGAGCGCGGAGAGATGGGGTTAGCAGGTGAGGATGACAAGGATTGTGGAGACAGACCCCAAGGAACAAAATCTGCATTCAGATCTCCAACCAGCAGGAGCTCCCAGTGGGATGCTCGGGCAAACTAGGCTAAGGCGATCCTTGGTTGTATAAAGGGGAGTAGTGAGTATCAAGGAGCGGATTTTACCTTTGAATACAGCACTGGTGAGACCGACACTGGAATCCTGCATCCAGTTTTGGTGTCCACATTTTTAAAAGGATGTTACAAGACTGGAAGGGGTGTGGAAATGAGTTGAGAACCAGAGATGCCTCACGCTGAGAGATGTGAAGAGTTCAATTGGTTTAGTTTAGCAGAAGGCAGATTGGGAGGTCACCTGCTTACGGCATATATGTACTTTCATGGGGAGAAACTACCAGCTATTAAAAGACTCTCTGATCTAGTGGAGCAAGGCTGAACAAGAACTGAGGGCTGGAAGCTAAAGCCAGACAAATTCAAATTAGAAACAAGGCACAAATTTTTCACACTGCAGGTGACTGACCATCGGAACAAACTCCCAAGGGAAACGGTAGATTCTCCATTTCTTGGAGTCTTCATATCAACACTGGATGCCTTTCTGGAAGATGCTTTAATCAAACACAAGTTATTGGGCTCAATACAGGGGGAACTGGGTGAAATTTTTCTAAGTCTGACCTGTGTTACGCATGAGGTCAGACAAGATGATTTAATGGTTCCTTCTGACCTTAAAAATCTATGAACCTCACTCCCCATTCCCCAAAGCTCAGATCCCCATATCTATTCCTCACCACAGTCCTGAGGTGTAGGTATTAATATCCCCTTGGTGCAGATGGGGAAACTGAGGCACACAGCGGCTGCAAGAGGGGAATTCGCGTGGGAAGTGGTATTAGGCCTTGGGAGTTTCTGGCTCCCAGTTCCCTGCAAAGTGCATTAGGCCACAGTGCAATCTTATTATTGATAATAGCATCAGGCAGGCAGCACTGAAGAGGATAACGAAGCATTTTTATTAATTGGACTGTAATTAGAGTGGGCCTTCTATCCAAGGTTCTCAGATAACGAACTACACTTCATAGCACTGTTAGGAAGTAGATATTGGTATAGCCATTTTACAAATGGGAAAACTGAGTCCTAACAGGTTCAGGTTTCAGAGTAGCAGCCGTGTTAGTCTGTATTTGCAAAAACAAAAGGAGGACTTGTGGCACCTTAGAGACTCACAAATTTATTTGAGCATAAGCTTTCATGAGCTACAGCTTCACGTGACATGCTCCAGGTCACACAGCATCTCAGTGGCAGACCTGGGAACAGAACCCACAAGGGCTGGCACCCATTCCTTCTGCTCCACACTCCATCCAAAAGCTGGGAACAGAACTCCCTGCTCTACTCACTCGTCCACACTTCCCCTCCACGGAATCTTTCTTCATCTCTAGACAGCTGATAACCCTGAGAGGCCTAGGGCATGCAGGAGCTCTGCCAAGAACCCTGATGTGAGAGTCTGACCCGTCTAAAACAGCTGTTCATGAATATATCAAATGAAGCACACCCATGCTGGGCTCGGTGCTTGTTGTTTTGTGGCCCCTGAAGCAACATCAGTTACCCAGAGACCTGGCTGCAGCAGGACAGTTGCCCACCCATAAAGATAATGGCACCAAAGGGCATTGTTTTCTGGAGTGGAACGCCGCAGTCATTTAGCAGCACACAGCATGCACTGGGAGTCCAGACTCCTGGCTTCTGTTGCCAGCTTGGCCATAGCAAAGTTATGCAACCCTTCAGGGGAGCCTTTGCTACAGAAAAGCTGGAATAATCCACACCCCCAGGTGGTGTAATTAATCAGTTGCTCAGCATATGACCCTTGCTGACCCATACCAGAACGGGCGGCGACAGGCCTGGCCATGCCAAGGGAGACACAGCGTTTCAGAGGTTGGCTTCCTAATTGTGCCTAATTGTGCCTGTACGGAACCTGCTGAGATGCCCAGCTGGAAGAAGTCTCTTGTCAGGGAGACTGCTTCATGTTCTGCGAAACGAGAGGTGTCTTAATTTCAACTGGGAAGATGTCACTCGCCCACTCTGAGGCCATGCCAGGAGCCTCACTGATAACAGGGCATGATGGCTGGTAATGAACTAACATTTCCCCTTTGCAGTCTCTCCTCCTCCCCTCCTAGATCCCTCTTTTCCCTGTCACTCCTCCCAGCTACTTCCCCTCCCTAACGGCTCAGATGTCAGCAACCCTGTCTCTGCCACCAAGTTTGGTCTGATATTTCCTGACAGCACTGCTCATTGGGGACCCTACTACAGTCTTGCCCCAGCAGCTGCTGATTCCGGGGCCCATGCTTTTCTCCCCACTGTGCCATCTCTTGTGCCTGTGAATAGCCTCGCTATTAGGACAGTCTCCTCTGGGGGCAATGTAGCATCCCCTAGCGGCCACTGGGCTAGGAAAGAACATGCACAAAGGCCTGGGTATTTTAGTTCCCCTGCATGACCCCTCTGGCCGGGGCCCTGTGCAGCCTGGTGTCTGGATCCCTTCATTTGGTCTGGGTTGAAGCTTAGGACAAGGTGAACTGACTTAAGGCTGCAACACTCTGCTATTCCCCACCGCACTGCTCTGCTGTCGCACATCACTCCTGCTAGCTCAGTCCTGGGCTTTCTACAGCACCTGTGCATTGAGTCGCTAGGCTACACTCACGCCTGGGGCGCTGTACCTGAGCACCTCATCCTGCAGTGCAGCCCCTCACTGCTACTCCAATCTTGTCCCCGCCACAGCAGTGCCAATGCACTCCAGTTCTGGCCTCCTGTTCTCCCCGCCCTGGGATTTCCCCAGCACCTGTCTCATAGGCATTTCTATGTGCTCAATGCTAAACCGTGACAGCCCCGGCTATTCTAGTTCTGTTCCCCATATAGATCTGCTGACGTCTCCTAACTCTGACCTTCAGCACCTCCAACTATCCATGCCTGTGCCCCCCATATGCCTGTAATCCTGCTATTTTGGCTGTCTTCATCACCATTCTCTTTACCTTGTAACTGGGCACAATGGAGGACTGTGGAATTTACAAGCAGCAGAAAGGCGAAGGAAATAAAATCTGTAACTCAAAACAATTAACAGCGTCCCTGTAAATGGCAGGAGAAAACCACTCCTGACTTGAATGGTCTAGTATATTTCCCAGAGAGCCTTCTCCAGCTCTGCAAGACATGGAGAGGAACACGGCAGAAACTTGATTAAAATCCTCTAATGCAGTTTTATTGTGCTTCAGCAAAACTCCAGTGAAATGGTCTCACTTCCTTTCAAAAAAACCCCAAAACCAGCTTCATCATTATGTGACATGCTCCCCTAGCCCTTTCCTTGTGAACTGGATTAGCCCTTCGTTCCTCTCCAGTGCCTGTCACTCAGCAGCTCAAAAGTGATTTGTGAGCGTGATCAAAGCCTCGCAGCACCCACATCTCCACCTTACCGGTGGGGAAGCTGAGGCATAGAGCAGGGAAATGACTTGCCCACAGTAGGTCAGTTGCACAGCCCAGGCTTGCGTTCTAACCATCATAAAACTCAGTCTCTCTCTGTTCCGGGAACCCACTCACCTCTGCTCCTGATCCTGTTGAAGTCAATGGAAAGATAGGGGTTAGTTGGAACCCATGGTGATCTTACTGGTTTTATTACAGTAGCCCCTAGAGGCTGCTACCAAGATGAGGGCTCCACATAGTGGAAGGCAGCCCCTGCCCTGAAGAGCTTACAAATAGACAAGACAGACAAAGGGTGGTAGGGGAAACTGAGGCACAGAGCAGTGGCGTGACCTGCCCAAGCTACACAGGAGAGGCATTGGCAGAGTTGGGAATAGAATCCAGGTGTCCTGCCTCTAAGCCACTGGACCACACTGCTGATCTTGCTCTGCTTTTGCTAGCAGCCAGGTTGTCTCTCAGCCTAGCACAGAACAAGAGAAATGTACAGCTCCTCCTATCTAACCCCTGCACCATTACACAATAGCAAATGAAAAGCAATGTAATTAAAAGATCCTAATCCAACATGCAGGTAACCTGTGGAACTTCCTGCTGCAGGATATTGGTGAGGTAAACAGTTGAGCAGGAGGCGTGGACGTTAATGTGAATGAGAATTGCATTGGAGCAACACTAGCAAGGAGTACAGCAACAAGAGATACAAGCTCTTGGTGGATAAGATGATTATCAGGTAGGGGAGGGCAGAATTCTCCCAGTGTAGGATATGTTGAGGTCTAAATATGACCATCACCTTCACCGAAGTAATCTTAGCACAATGGGGAGCACTGTACAATTGTGGGATGAAAAATATGGCTTCCTCTGAAGCATCCAGAGATGCTTTTGTCAGAGATGAATTGTTAGTCTGCCAGTTAACGCTTGGGATCCTAAACTTTAAAATAACCTCCACACATAGAGCCTCTTTTAGGGGCAGGCGAGCAGGACGGTTACCTTGGGTGTCATCTTCCGGGGAGGTGGCACACCGCTGGGCCTTTTGTAGGGGGGTGTTTTTTTGCTCTGCTGATTGGCTGCCTATTGTGGGGGAGTTATTTTTTGGCTCAGCCACTCCAGGCGTAGGGGTGTGTGCCGAAAACATTTTCCACCCTGGCAGGCAAAATGCCAAGGGCTGGCCCTACCTGCATATGCGCGTACACACACAGCTAGGTCATCAGTGAGTGTCTATCTGCGTAGCTCCCCCCCCCCCCCCCGACTTTGCTCTGAGGACCAGATCCCCAGCTGGCATGAATCAAGCTAGCCCCAGTGCACTCATCACCAATTTACGGCAGTTCAATGTCTGGCCCTCAACACGCACCAGCAGTTCACCCCAGCGTTCTGCGGCAGAGAGAAGGGAAAGCCGCTGCCTCAGGGGTGCCAACATTTGCTCAGTAACTGCACAGAGAAGCTTGCCGGGTGCATTTACTCAGAGTAACTGGAAGCAGAATCCTCTCCCCGCTCACCCTCTCAGTTGGGAGACACCCTGGATTCCCCAGGCTGGATT